TATAGCAGTGAGTAGCACACATAACTGGGGGTTTCAAGCTTTCACTCTGGTATCAATATGAGAAAAGTGTTCTCTTTTAAAGAAGTTTTTATAATAGGAATATCTGTTCATTAGTTTTAGAAAGAGGATTTTAAACATGCCCTGGCCTTTTTAACTCCACTCCCTTCTCATGGTCAGATGTCTTTCAGATAGACAGCTCCTACTCTAATAGCTCCATTTCCTTATCTAAGGATTGGGCCAGCTGGATACTTTTCTATCTTAACAGCCTCTTAAGAAACATAATTAGACAGATGGAGATGCAGCGTTTATTCTACCGTTTCCTCTGCTGGTTATGAAGGACTTCTAGAACCGTCTGGTTGCAACCATCAGTGTGCAAATGCTAGCCTTAGGTCAGACATGCATAGATTTATGAGGTAGGCTGGGCTCCAAAATGCTGGGGGGGCACCCAATGCATCTGAAACGTGTGCAGTGAGTGCTACTTGGCAGATACAGTAATTACAAGATGCAATGAGGCCAAAAGGAGAAAACAGCACAGGATGGGTTTCTAAAGAGAAAGAGCAAAGCTCCCTCCTTCCTTGCTCTTCTTCGTAAGTCTCATTTATTACAGGACGTGGTACGGAGGGCCAAAGACGACTGACTGCTGCTGCTCTAGCTTGGGTGCCTCGATGGGCAATGGCACCATTCACTCAGACAGGTAGCACTGGCAGAAGAGCAGGTTTGGGGAGGTGAGGGAAAATGATGAGCTCAATTTGGGACATGCTGACTTTGAGATGCTGGTGGAACATCCAAGTGGAGATATCTGGAAGACAGATGGATGTTTGGTCTGTAGCTCCAGATAAGGTCTGGGAGGCTGATACAGATTTGGGAGGTAACAGAATATAGGTGGAAACAGAAGCCCCAGGGCTGGTTGAGATCTCTAGTGTGAGCACATAGAATAAGAAGAGAAGAGGATCTTGGGTGGAAGCTTAAGTAACCCCAACATCTAAAAGATGAGCAGAAGACAAAGAGCCTATAGAGGAGACAGAGATGGAGTTGCCAGTGTTCTTCAGGCTAATGAGAAAGTTACTGTCAAGATAGTCACCTTTTTCCAAATTTGAATAGTGCAAATAGAGACACTCAGGAAATTTTGCTGATTTTATCTAAGTGCATCATATTTGAAGACAAGATTTCTGCAGCTTTTCCCAAAAGAAATACAAGCACCAATAAACATATGAAAAACTGCTCAACTTCACTAACAGAGCAAATCAAAACACAAATCAAATTGGACTTTGCAGGAGGTCACTGTTTGCTTATACATTTGTTAGCTATATTGCCTGAGACTGACAAGGATGCAATGAAACAGGCCCTCTCCTGCACTGCTGGTGGGACTGACTAGAGGGCAATGTGGTCAAATCCATCGAGCACCATAAGTGTCTTTATACCCTTTGACCCAGAAATTCCCAGTCAATTAGGTCCCAGTCAATTTTTGGATTGACTCTTATGCAATTAATTTATGTAAAAGATTTTCATTAAAATGTATATAAAAGGATTTCTACTGCAGCAATATTCCCACTATTGTATCCTAATAATGCTTTCTTTATAAACGCTTTTTTTTTAAATTTCAGAATATTTTTATTATCCTTAAGAAAATTTTCATAGATCCTAACTCAGAACTTGGGTCCCAGTTCTTAGATAATGTTGCCAGTATTTTCTATACTGCTATTTTCCAAACAGAGGGGCAGCAGGGCATAATGGATCAACAAGGAAAGCCCCAGGTAAATACGGACACTTATGTCAGACCAAAAAAATTTTAAATTGTAGACCAGTAAAGTAACAACTTCAGAAGAAAATTTATAATATTTGTTATTGACTGGTTTGGATCTGGGACAGAAAGAGACATGGAGGTTCTAGTGAACTATCTGAAGCTAGTCATTCTAAACCATTACAAAATGAATTCCCATCATTTCTATTAATTAACAGCTGAAAGACCACTCTGAATTTCATTATCTGGAAAAAAAAGGACTTAAAACCTTTTTGAAATGTTCTCTTCATTTTGTCATACAATAATTTCATTTGTGAAATTTGTGTTCTTAAACCACATCCTAATGTGAATTTCCTTGCTGAATAGAACAGAGAAATTACTCTCAGAGGGTCACATGTGCTTAAAGATTACTACTTTAAACCAAGAAAGTATGTTAAGTGATTGTCTTAGAATGTTGCAATTGATAAGTCACTTTTGTTGACTAACAATTTTGTAGAATCAAAAGACATTCACAACACTAAAACGGAGAATCTTTCTTAAGGATCCCAATAACTGCTCAGAGTTTTGCCAAAGACACATGATAAAAAGCCAAGAAAAATAATCTGTTGACTAAACTGTTTTATTCAAATATGTATAAGTATAAATAAGGTCTCAACAATTTCAACAGATAAATGATAAAAATGATAACCCAAATATTATATTTACTGGATATGTACTCTATGTTCATTTCCAAAAACTTTTATGTTATTTTATTATTTTTCAGAAAAGGTGATTCATTAACTGTCCGACTGAAGAGTGGTTGGTTTAATTTTTATAGCTTTTAAGACTTTTTCTATAAATAAAGTCATACATAAGAAAAATTTTAATTGTTAGATCTTGTGTTCCAATTTTTTGTTCCTAAAATATTATCTAAAAATATAGGCAAGAATTAATCTTACGATAAACCAAAACCAAAAAACACAAACCCACTGCCGTTGAGTCGATTCCGACTCATAGTGACCCCTAGGGGGCAGAGTAAAACTGCCCAAAGGTTTTACAAGAAGTGGTTGATGGATTTGAACTGCCGACCTTTTGGTTAGCAGCCAAGCTCTTAACCACTGCACCACCAGGGCTCCCTTACGATAAAGGAAGATGCATACGTCAGTGAAGAAAGAAAAAGGTCTGATGAACAATGTTAAGTCACTGATTAGCTAGCTGAGAAATTTTAATTCAGATCCCTATCTCATGCAGTTCACCAAAATAACTTCCAAATAGATCAAGGAGTTAAGTTTCGGGGGAAAAAATCATCAGAAGAAATTTTGTGTCTGCTCTCTAAATGAGGAAGGGTTGGGTTTAAAAAGAAATAATCACAAAGGAAAAGATATGTAGACTGGAACACTAACATGCTATACCTGATAACCTCTCCAAGAACATGGGCAGAGAATTTACCAAAAAAGAAATAAAAATAAGTACTAAAACATGAAGAATGTTCAACTTCACTAATATTCAAAAAAATACAAATTAAAACAAGGTGCCATTTTTAGTCACCAATTAGCAAAGATTTTTAAAATGATGATAAATTCTAAGAAACAAAAAAAAAAAAAAACCATTCTCACTCACCAACAGTTTAGGGTGTAAATTGGTACATTCTTTCTAAAAATTCAGGGAGCAACACATAATGAGCTGTAAAATGTTCACACCCTTTGATATAGTAATCCATTTCCAGGAATCTTAAAAAGACAATCTAAAATAAGAACAAAACCCCAGACACCCTTTTCACTCAGTACTGAAGTCACTCCTGAGGTTCACCCTTCAGCCAAAGATTAGACAGGCCTATAAAACAAAACGAGACTAAAGGGGCACACCAGCCCAGGAGCAAGGACAAGAAGGCAGGAGGGGACAGGAAAGCTGGTAACGGGGAACCCAAGGTCGAGAAGGGGAGAGTGCTGACATGTCATAGGGCTGGCAACCAATGTCACAAAACAATATGTGTATTAATTGTTTAATGAGAAACTAATTTGCTCTGTAAACCTTCACCTAAAGTACAATTAAAAAACAAACAAACAAGGACAAAAACTTATGCAGAAAATTTTCAATGCAGCATTTTGGACAAAAGCAAAAACTTTGTAGTAAACTAAATAAAATTGAAAATAAACTTTGGAATTGCTTAATTAAATTATAGTATGCTTACAGGATGAGTATCATGATGTCATTAAAAACTGTTTACAAAGAATCTTTAAATCATATAGAAAATGCCTACAATATGAAGTTACATGAAAAAATACAAAATTATATCCATATAGCATGAAATTTAAAAGGTTTATACACATGTACACACACATTAATTTTCCCTTAGCCTGCTTGTTTTACACTGTCATGAGAAAATGACTGGATTTTCCCTGAATTTGGAGGGTATGTGTCGGGTAGTCTGCCCTAAAGAGTTCTTTGTCTGTGACAGACAAAGAACTAGACAGTCAACCTCCAGAAGAGGTTTAGGCATGATATGTGACAAAAACATTCCACACCTGAGCAACTATATATAAAGTGTTCAAAAATAAATAACAGTAGGGATTTATTTAATAATCATTAATGATTCCCCTGAGCAACAAAGAATTGGCCAGCAAAATATATGTGCATGAGGGTACATGCACGCATGCCCATACATAAAAAAAGGCTAGAAGGAAGTATACTAAAATATATTTTTAGCAGTGGTTTCCTGAGTAGAGATATTCTAGAACTGCGTTAATATGGTAGACACTAGACACATGTAGCTATTTGCATTAAAATTATCAACTCCATTCTTCAGTCTCACTAGTTACATTACAAGGGTTCAAAAGCCACATGTAGCTAGTGGCTGTGGTATTAGGCAGCACAGATCTAGAACATTTCCATTGTTGTACAAAGTTCTTTTGGGCAGTGTTGTTGTAGATTTTTATGTTCTTCTTTATACTTTTTCCAAATATTTTACAATATGCATTGTAGTGGATTCCTCTTGTAAACAGAAAAAATAAACACTATCAGAAAAGAAAATGAGGTTACCAGAAGAGGCATTCACACTAGGCGTGCAAGAGGACACACTGTCTAGAGAGAGCCTTGGAGAAAGAACACTGCGGGGAAAAGCAGGAGGTCACAGGCACGCTGGGAAGGATAGAAAAGGCTACTAAGAGACATGAGAATAATGGACATTCTGAGAAAGTAAGGGCAGAGAAATTCCAACAGTAGGGTGGGGAAGGAGGCAATTATAGCAAGAAGTCACAGGTTCTTGTCTCCCCCCACTCACCAGCCATTACAGCTGCTGACCGCTGAGCTGGCTCAAAAGGACATTTCCCCCGGCCACTCTCAAGTCTTTCAACCTGCCGGAAACTGGACACATCCTAAGACCAGAAGGGTGTAAATGGTTTAGGGGTCATGGGGAAGGTTCATGGTAAGAATTACAGAGATGGTCAGATGAAGGAAAAGCCAATTCCCCATTCATCTCCCATTCCCCTACTGCTACTCCCATATTCCCAATCTACTATTCCTGATACCCCACCCATTCCTGCATTTCCCATCTCTGCCACCCCTCTTTTTATCAGTTTCTCCTCCCTCAATTCCCCTAGTACCCAAAGATGAAACAACAGCTAGGATGGCCTTATAAGACACTAAGAGGCAGACAGGTAGCTCTTTCCTCTGAAACACTGGAGAACTGTAGGTTTTGCAACAGGCTGGAGAATATGCAACAAGACAAGGAGGACCAGGGAAGCAAGCAGGCCTCATGAGGGCTGGAGCCCTTGGGAAGGATAAAGAAGAGTACAGCCTGGTACAGAACCCTCTGAAGTCCAGGGGCTTAGATAAAGAAGGGTCATCCTCCCCCTAATCCAACCCCAAGGATGAGAGACAGGGCCAGAGTCAAGGATATAGCCAAGGGAGGGAAGGAGGGAATCTGCAAAGTCCGTGAAGAATGACCTAAGGCTCAGGTCAGAATGTAAAGTTTTGGTAGGTAAGGGCCTCCTCATCCAGAAGCAGTGACCTGGGTAGGGAACAAGGGGTGTAAGACTTCCACGAAAGCCAGCCAGAAGTTACCTTAACCTAGCATCCTGCACTAAGAGAGTCTTCAAGATAACATCTAAAAATAAATATCAGGGATGATTTCAACCTAGGTCTGAGAGGGAAGTTAACTGTGTCCGGTTGGAAGTCAAACTTGTGGCACAGAAGTGTCAGGTATGCTATCTCTAGTTCACAAATAGGATGGACATATGGTATGGCTGGAGCCTAAGTACTTTGACAGCAGTTGGACTAGCAACATAATATATATCCCCTGAGCATACTACTGGCCCATTCTCATTGCCCATCTATTTACTGCAGATAGCAAGCAAGATTTTATTTTACTGAGAGAGCCTTGAAGGCAGCCTGCTAAAATCAGATGTGATCTGAATTCCGATAAAGGGAATATTGGGTCAAGAGAGTCTACTGGAGTGGGAGAACCCACAGAGGCACAAGTACCTCACCTCTGGCAGTGGAAACATCCTAGCCTGAGGCGAAAGATGACAATTTGGTGAGAGATTACTAAGACCTTTGGGTACTTTGGAGATGGGATGAATACCTGCTGCTGCCCTTCTTAACTCTCACTTCAACTATTGCGATAACCTCCTTTTCTCCACACTATCTAGCCCCACCTCCAATTTATTCTACATATCCACCCCAGATTAATCTTCCTAGAGTATCAGTCACTGCCTTGATAAATTTTTGAGCAAGAGAGTAACAAAATGGCTCACAATTGCCTGGAGTAAAAACTCTTTAGACCAACCTACTTACTTTCTACTACTTCTCAAAATGAATTCTGTTCGATACAAACTGGATCACCTATTATTCCATCTCTATGCCTAAAACTACTCCCTTACATTTTACCAAGGACTAAACGGATGAGCTTTTCTCAGTTCTCATTCTCTTTAATCTTTATGCACCATTTAAAATTTTGACTCGCTCCATTCCTTGAAATATTCCATTCCTGACACTCTTAAAATGCTATGCTCCTAGAGTCCCTCTTCCTATCTAATGGTTGTTTATCTGTTTCCTTTGGTCACTTCTTTTCTTTGTTATCACCCCTAAGTATGTATCCTAAGGATCTGTCCTTAGTTCTTTTCATATAACTCTCGAAGATCTCATTCATTCTTACATTTCCAGCCAGATGTTCTATGCATATTATTCCTCCAAAGTCTCTGAGTTTGATCTCTTCCAAACTCTAGCCATATTTTCAACTGACTGCTAGACTTCTCACAGAGATCATCTACTAGCCCGTTAAAACTCAACACCTCTTAAAACTCAACACTTCAAAACTAGTCCCCTTCCAGTTTCCCCAAATGGCATCATCATGTCATCTAGGTTTATAACCTTTGAGAAAGTGAGCCTCCTATTAACTAGATAGGTTATGATTATTGTATGGTCAAAGTGATGTCTAATTAGAGTCTGAGAGAGGCAAGACCACTCCACTACATTCTATATCTGGTGAAATTCTTCATTGTATCTTCACTGTGTCAATCAGCACAGTCTCTCAAAACCAGCTGTGGTGAAGGCAAGTCCCTCAAGCTGCAAGTCAGAGTTGGCTTGGAAGGCTCTCACTGAGCTGTGGGGATGGAATGTGTCTTTTGGCCTTGGTGAAGAAGGGTACAAAACATACCAGTTGGTCAGAAAACAAAGATGTTCCTTGTTACATGAAACAGGTTTAACATCACAAGAAAATGAAGCCAAATGAGGTCTTCTGGGCTGCAGGCTGGACTAGAGACAGGATAGTGGAGCAGAGCCAGACAAATGTGAATTTGAATCTTGGCTCTGCCTCTGCTAGCTATATACTCTTAGACGTGGCACCTAACCTCTCTGAACTTCACTTTCCTTACCTGTAAGGTGTAACTTAATAATACCTAAATATCATGATGTAGTGATGAGAACTAAACTCAATCATGAATGCAGAGTGCCTAGTACCAAGCTGAGACAGGGTAAATACTCAACTGAATGGGAATTCTTGTCATCATCATTGTCACTGTTCTTGTTAGAAGTTAAACATTTCTCTCTACTAACTGTTGAGAAGTTACCTCAGCAAAACAAAATAAAATGTTTTCTTCCAATGTCTGGTGAACTGTTACTGAAGGGCAGAGCATTCCATACTGTTGGAGCTGGTGGGTCTAGCACTGGAACTTCTTTTGTAAGAATCATTTCTCCATAATCATCTCTGAGCAAGTTGCTGTGTCTGGATCAGTAAGTCAAAGCTCTGAGATGAGAGTTACATACTCTCAAGTCATCAGTCTGGGTCATAAGAGGTTCAGCACTAAGGAAAAGGCTAGAACTTGGTCAAGTACACTGGGGTTGCCAGGAAGCAGGATAAGACAGGTAAAGGCAGAAGAGAATGTTCAGAAAGTCTACAAGGCAGACTCAGGGTTAACAGTGCTGACCACTTCAGGGCTATGCTCAATATTTTCCTACAAATAAGCCTTGACAAAAGAACGGCCCTTCGTTTCACAAGCCAGCCAGGTACCCTCCAGAGAAGGAGAGACCACTGAAGTTGTGGAGCTCAGGATGTACACTCCCTGGTTTTACTCTTCGTTGCTGACATTTTTCAAGAGTGGACAGAGGTCCAAGTCACAGAAATCCTGACAGGTATGTCCAGAATATACCTTATCTGACAACCACTAGGATTCTACCTCAGAGAGTCAAGGAAGAATAAGAGGCACTGAGAGATTAACTTGGAATGATCTCATCGTAGATAAGCCATGGCTCTGATATTCATACCTATGGGCTCCCCAAGTCTGTGCAGACCAAATCAACCAAACCAAACCCACTGCCGTCAAGTCGATTCCAACTCATAGTGACCCTATAAGACAGAGCAGAACTGCCCCACAGGGTTTCCAAGGAGCACCCTGTGGATTTGAACTGCCTACCTTTTGGTTAGCAGCTGAGCTCTTAACCACTGCACCACCAGTTAAAGAAAACTAGACTCTTAAAAAATTACCCAATGGGATATAGAGATCTTCAACACCACCCTGAACTAGAAAACTTTCTAGCCACCAGCCCCAGAATGAGGCAGCTATCCATGCCTAGGTAGAGTATCTATCATCCACATTGTGGAAAGGACTTAACATATGCCCAACCAACCCCAAGGGTAACCCAGAGGGACTGACTGGGGCAATCAAGCAAATACAATTTTGGCATCCTAAGCTAGAGATGTGAAGATGGTCTGTGACAAAGAAGAGTTTGGAGATACATGCTGACTAGATCCAGGTGGCAAGGATTATTGCAGATTGCAGAAGGGTCAGGTCAAGCTCTCCAGTTAAGGATTAGGGTCAGAAAAGGGGATGGTTCCACTCCCTCCTATTGTTCTATGGAGCAGAAAGGGAAGCCATTAGATACAAAGGACACATGAGGCTTTGCACAAATGTGTGCTGTCAGACAGTGACTGGCTACTAGACAACTGATGGGAAAAGCTGAGGGTTCAAATATGATAAGACCCCTGCTGAGATGTCACCAGTCCCACAGACCGATGTGGCCATGACCAGCCCGGATGTGATTAGGGATATATGTGTCCCAAGCCTGCCTGGGTTAGAGAGTGGAGATGCCCACAGCTTCAGCGGCAAAGGAGAGGGTCTAGAAGAAAACGTGGTTGACAGAGTGTCCACTGTGAAGCCAAGATTCAGAGTAAGGGGCCAGTAGGTACTACGTCAGTGGGCAGTGACCGCAGAAGCCGTGACAGCAGAGCGTCACAGCCCACAACAAAATTCAGTTGGCAGGGGAGGTAGGGGAGGGTGGTGAGGGACAGTCACATGCTATGGGGTGAAAAAACAGGCATGGGCTGCACTGATTAATAAAACGACCCAGGCTGCTCGGACAAAGCATACGCGGGATAAGGGGAACGTGAGTTCCTGGTCTCTGTAAGCCTCTCCTGGACTTTTCCTCTCCCCACCACAGCCAGCATCCCTAACTTCTTTCACCCTCCCACTATGGCTCCCTTTACGTCCTATGTACCTCACCTTCTACAGATAACCTCCCTCCTCCTCCCTCTTATGCCCATCCCTCAGTGGCATGCCCACCCCCACCCCAATGCTTATCATGCACAAAGGTTACTCTAAGCATGCCCCCATCATGGTCACTCACAGTAGGCCCTTCCCACCCACCAACCCCTGTCCCCGAGTAACTCACACTGGTGCAGGCTCCCTCTCCCTCTCTTCCCACCCCCGTCACTCACAATAACCCCGCACTTCGGATCAAAAGCGTAGGTGCCACAAGTGAGGAGGTGAGAAGCATTGGCAATGGCGAGAATCTGTACAAAATTGTGACATTCGTCCTGGGGGTCAGAGATGGTTAGAGAGAATCAGAAGCAGCAGGTACAGGAAGGGCCGGGTAGTGTCAGGACAGTTAGATGCAGCTCTGAGATCGGAGATGATGGGTGATGGCATGGTGTTAGAGTCCCTGACTGGGCCCATGGGATGGGGGCACCACAGGGGACTGACAAAATCAGAGCTGGGCCAAGGCCTCAAACAACACTCAGGACATGGCCCAGATTCACACCTACCTCCCTCTTGCCTTTCTTCCTACAGTTTTGTCTGTGCACCTCAGGCACCATCCAGTCAATCTGAAAAAGGAGGAGTGATTGTTTCCCTCAGATCAATGCCCAACCTCCCTCAAGGTCAGGGGAGGTGAGACAGTTCCAGGACTGCCATCAATTTCGGAACTGGAGGTCCCCACCCATTAATGAGTAGTGAAATCAATTGTGAAATCATGACCAACAGAATATATCAGCATGTATCCCATATAGGAGATTAGATATTGTTTCAAGAAACATTTCTTTTGGATCACAATATAAAATATATTTCTTACTAATGGGTGGTCACAAAAGGTTGAAAGCTACTGCCCTAGTGTGTTGTGATTCTAGTCATTCCTCTCCCTGCTATGACCTGAAACCTGGCCTCATCCCCATAATCATGAACCTCCCTCATATCCTCCCCAGGCATCATGACCCCCACAACCCTCAGCTGACACCCTCAGCTGCCATCTCCCCCATTCGCTTTCACCAATACTCCCCCTCCCACAACCACTGTTAGTTACAATGAAACTCCTACAGTCACATACATCCCATAACTATGGCTCTAACCTCATGCTCTAGGGTCTAGAGTCCTCCCCACTCTCAACTCTCACCCTGCGGGGTCTCTCCCCTGAGAAGGGCAGAGATAAAGCGAAGATGGTGTCCCGGGCGCCGACATAAAGAGTGTGGGAAGCAGGGTCCACAAGGAGAACAGAGTAATTACGTGTCTGAGGGACAGCAAACCGGGTGAGGTAGGAGTCAGCCTCTGGCAGGAAGAGAAAGGACAGTGATATTAACCGTTACCTCATAAGGGCTGGGCCCACAAAGGTAAAGCCAAAGAGGCCAATTTTTGGTTTCTTCCAGGTAGCATTTATTTAGCAGCCATCAGTGGAAAACACAGAGCTTTGACAGGCTGATCATCTAAGCTTCCCCAGAGATACTGATGAGACCAGAATATTTTAACACACAATCCCATCAAGTATGCTTTTTCTATAAAAATAGAACATTTTATTAAAATAACAGCAAAAATATTAAGTCTGTAATTTCTATTCATAGCAACATGATACATAACTTGAAAATACCTTCAGAAGGTTCATATACTTTCCTCTGCTATATTTCATTTTTTATCACTACTTAGTAATAACTTATTTTCACTTAGAATGGAAGTGTTTCACTCTCTTGACCAACACTTTGGGAGTCTATCTTCCCTCTCTTCCCTACATTTTGACCGCCTTCCCAATTCTACCCAAAGAGGTAGAGAGTGTAGTGGGAAAGAGTACGTACTTTGGAAACAGACCAGTCTGTGTTTAAATCTGACTCTTCACTTACCAGCTGTATGATCTTGAGTAAGTTACTTGCCCTCTCTGAGCATCACCTTCCTAATCTGCGAATACCACCATCCAGGGTTGTTCAGAGAATTAAAGGAGACAGCATATGTAGAAGCACCTAGCACATAGTACATGCTTCACAAATGGTTCCTTTCTTCCTTCCTTAGGCATATGTTCTGTTTTGAACAATTCTAAACCTATTAGCATTCAGAACTCTTCTATGTTTAAAGATTAAAATAAATAAGTTATCATGAATTTACCTTCTTAGCTCACCCTCTGGTTCTAGAGACCCTATCTCTGTACCAACACAGCTCTACTCTGCCTGCTTCGTCTGTTCATCTGTCCTTAGGACAGTAGAGGGCCATCAGTCATTCATTCCTAGATGTGATGTATGGAGTCCCACCCACCTATCCTCCCACACACATGCTCAGCTCCATGCTGTATCCAGCCTACTCTCTCATGCTTAGAATAAGCACTGGATCACCCAACCTCCCTCCCTACCCCCAACTCTGCTTCGTCTTGCCACTTAGATCTCTCTTGATTCTGGACATGAACCCAACCTGGCAATCTCAACTCCATGTTATGGCTATTACTCCAGCACAAACTGAAACCCCAGGCTCTGAGCATATAGCATTCCTATACGTTACTGGTATGAAATTTAGATTCTAAATTAACATTACCAGTTGTGAGTTTTTGCCAACAGGTTGCACTTTCAGCTTTACCAGTTCTGTTTGCCCAAGGTGCTAACACTCAATGCCCTGAGAAGAAAACAAGGTCCATGACCACTCATGCCCACCTCAGCAGAGAACCTCAAAGTCTGAATCACTCCTATTGCCACTTTTAACTGTGTGGCATCCGTGGCTCCTTCCACGACTTTTGAAAGGGCTATGTTCCCTGGCTCCCTTTCCTTTCAAAGACATTAAAAATCATCTAAACAGAACTTTAAATCAACTTATTGAATGGTTTTCCTACATTCGATGTGAGGAATGGGTTGAGCGAGCAGGGAACCTTGAGGAAGTTAGGAGGGTTAGGTGGATCGGATATCGGAAACATGGACGCTAGTGTCAGAGATATGAGGGGGCTGGAAAATGGGTTAAGGAGATTAGGGCTGTGAGCAGGGCAAAAGGCTTGCAGGGAGGTAGAACTGATAATAGGAGATGAACGCGAGAAGTGGGCATACGAAAATGCTGAGCTGGGGATGAGAGGGTTGGGTGGTTGGAATGGAATGAAAGACCGATGGGTTTGAAAATAGAATGGGCGCCAAACTGGACACAGGTGTATGTGCAAGGAAGGAGGAGGCGGGGAATAAGGGAGAGGAAACTTCGAAATGGACAACCTCAAGCAACCCCCATCCCCTCCCTGGGCCTGCCTCAGTGTCCGCATCTGCACCGTAAGGGGCTCAGTTCCTGCGGTTCTGAGAATAAGGGTCCGCGAGAGCAGCCAGGGCGTGCCGTGGGCGCCGAAGCGCGAGGTCCCGGCCGGGGATGCGGTGGAGGAACACCGCGTAGGGATCCCGGCCGGATCTGGACCAGGCGGCGTGGCGCGCGCGCTGAGCGGTCCCTGGGTGCGGCAGCCCGAGTCGGAAGAGCAGGTGGTACGGGCACGTCTGGGCTGGGACCTGGGCGCGACGCGAAGGACTGAGGGCGAGGGCGCCCGCGCCTTACCAGAGATGGGAAGGGAGGTTCTGGGCACCGAACGGGAGACACGGCCGGACACTGGGCCGCTCAGCACCGCCAGCAGCAGCAGCGGGAAGGGCGAGGCCGGAGGCGAACCAAGGCCCAGGCAGGGCTGCACAGCAGAGGCCGGCATCTTTGGCTCCGCCTGGCTGTCGGATGGGGTGCGCCCTGCCGCCTCGGCTCCCAGACACAGCGCCGCGGGCCTCGGCCCCACTCGGCTCTCATCGGCCGGGCTCGGCCTGCGGCTGCAGGACGAAATGCAGCCCAGCTCCGCCCCCTCAAGGAGAGACCAATGGCCGGGCCTCTTTCCTTCTACAGCCAATCGGGGTTGAGTGGAGACGGGGCTGAGGAGAGGAGAAGCCCAACCCAGGTAGAGGCCGAGCTAGAACCAGAGGTAGGTGGGAGTTCTTCGTGGGAACCGGGCCGGAGGTGTAGCTCTAGGACCTCAAGTGGCAGGTTTGCTCCGGGCGCTCCAAAAACTCAAAACGTCCAAATCTGCACTAATAGGGAAAATATGTGGGTCAATGGGTACACGCACCAGGTTTCTCAAAATTACTCCTTCTGCAGGCATTTAATGAGGGCTCCCTATGTGCCAGACACAACGGAAAACACTAAAGATACAGAAAATCACGATCCTTGAACTTAGAGAGTTCACAGTGTAATGGGGCAGATATGTAAACAAATAACTGCAAATGTTGTTAGGTGCCGTCAAGTCGATTCCGAGTCATAGCGACCCTATGCACAACAGAACAAAATACTGCCCGGTCCTGCGGCATCCTCACAATTGTTGCTGTGCTTGAGCCCATTGTTGCAGCCATTGTATCAATCCACCTCGTTGAGGGTCTTCCTCTTTTTCGCTGACCCTCCACTTTACCAGGGACTGATCCCTTCTGATAACATGTCCAAAGTATGTGAGACGTAGTCTCGCCATCCTTGCTTCCAAGGAGCATTCTGGTTGTACTTCTTCCAACACAGATTTGTTCGTCCTTTTGGCAGTCCGTGGTTTATTCGATATTCTTCGCCAACACCACAATTCAAAGGCGTCAATTTTTCTTCGGTCTTCCTTATTGTCCAGCTTTCGCAAAAAAATAATTGCAATACACTACGATGCATGTTTGCTGTGTAGGTTTAATCGGTTTTTACTATGAGAAACAGTTGAGAGGAGAAAAAGTGGTTTAGTGGGTCTAGAACATAAGCAGGTGACTCTTTTCCTATTGAAACATCTAACCTGTCCTGAACCACTCATTGGCACACTGAGGTCCGCCTTAAGCCCCACCCCAACCCGCATCTCGTACCATGAACTGAGAAGAAAAAATGCTAATAAAGAGGGAAACAAAAGAAACCTATGTATATATTCATTTTTAGTTTGGTGCTGGCATTTTTTTCCTTTCCTGTGGGCTCTTTCAGAGGATTCCTGTTCAACCACACAAAGTTGAAGACCCAGACCAGCCAGCTGAGAAGAAGCAGGATACTCCTATCCTATATAGATTTTATCAAAGAGACAATAGAAATCAACAGCAAGTGAGGATAAGTATAAGTAGAGAGGCAGATTCTCTTGGGATGCAGGAATTTGAAAAGACTTAAAAGAATTTTCTGAGGGTGGACTTAACTAACTTCCATGAGGGCAGGAAAACCAGTTTGCTTATCCACTATACCTCAACTTCTAGCACAGTGCCTGGCACATAGCGTGCCCTCAATAAATATTCATTGAATAAAAGAGTGACTGACTGAATGAATCAGTGAATGAATTATCTGGAAGAAAGGGTTAAAGCCAAGAACTCGGCACTGGAATGTTTCATTGCAGGTGGGGATGAGGGGGAGAAGCTAAGGAGAATATGTCAGGTTTAGTATAAAGTTCCCCACAGAGATCCAAAACTCTATTTAGGGGTCAAGTAAGGGCTGTTACCAGGGCACCCAGGGCTTGGAGACCGTGAGCCTGAGGTTCACGCCTGAGGTGAAATCCTGACGTAGCCCTCTCCCCATCCCCCGCCCCTCCGCCCCGCGCAGCTCAGGAGTCGCCCGGCCTAGCCGCGGCGGGCCTGAAGGGGGCGTCGTCGGCTGTGCGGGTGGACGCTGAGAGCCTGGAGGGCCAGGTAACGGGAGTCTGCTTTCCCAAGAGAGAGTGAGCACGTCCGCGCTCCTCCATGCCTCAGGGCAGTAGACGGTGCTGAGGGCCTCGGAACGAAGGAGTGAGCTCGGCCCGCCCTCAGGCAGGTGTTAGAGGCTCAGGAATCCGCCCTAGTCCGGCCTAGCCCAGGGCAGGTGGTGAGGCAGGATGGTGGCCAGTTACAGGAGGGGAGGAACTAAAACCCACTGCGGGTCCAGTCGTCCTTCAGCTCGCTTTTACTGAGCTGCCTGGCCTACGCCAGGTCTTCACCAGGAGCCACAGTATTGCCTCTGCAGACCGCCCGGGCCTGAGGGCAGGGCCGCCTGTCTGCTAGGCTTGATTGGCGCCGCTCCCAGGGTTCCACGCAAATGTTTTCATTTAAAAAAAAAAAATAAGAACAAAACAGTGGAGAAGGGACCTACGAAATTCATAATACGGCCCTACCTGAGGGAGAACCATTGACTCATTTATCACAGGACGAAGTGAACTGAGGGTTATACAAGCGTAGTACAGGCGCATTTATGGTGGCATGTAAAGGGGCCCTAACCTATTAAGTTGAGACCTAAAGGATGAGTAAGGTTCAGGAGAGTATGTTCAGAAAAGAATGACCAGCAGCAGGAGCTACAGCAAGAAGCCCAACACATTTGGGGACCTGAAAGGCAGCAGAGGAGGGCTGGGGGAGAAATGGGTGTTGGGCAGCAGATGGCATGGCATGAGGATATAGAGTCTGGACTGGAGATACAAGCAGAGTTTTGGGGCCAGGGTACAGATTTTGTTCTAAATATAATTGGAAACTGTTGAAGGGTTTTTATTAAAGGACTAACTTGATGGGTTTTGGTGGTTCGAGGCTCTGTTCTAGATATAATCGGTTTGCAGGAGGAAACCATTAAGTGGGTGTTCTTGGCAAAAATGAAGAGTATAAGGTCAGAAATAAAGTCATATCCTGTTTAGTACTATGTCCAGACACATCAGATGCATTAATTGATCACATTTGAAATTATAGAAAAGAGAGCTGCCTCTTACCTCATTGAAAGTACAGTCTTCACATTGTAAGTTACTGTGAGATGGTCAAAACGACTGCCCAAGCAGAAACCGTGCAAAGCGATCTAAACAGGAAAAAGTACAATTGTTTTGTGACCCTTAAAATTGTTGTCAAAACAGTAAAAACTCTGTCAGTTATGTGTAAAGGGAAATGAAAAAAATAGTAAAACTAATATTTATGTAGTACACTGTAATTTAAAACATTAGAAACGCTGAGGATTAAAATGCTTTATTTCTCTATTTAAAAAAAAAACTTATCAAAGTAGTTTGAACAGTACTTGCCTTCATCTCATGGTATTACTTACAATACAGAGCAAGCATCTTTTCTATGCCTTAGCAAGTTATAATACTTTCTAAGTGTGAATCAGCCTCCCATAATTTATTATTCTCTGCACTTTCAATATTGTAAAATACCTCCAAGAGTTCTTTTAATGTGAAGTCTTTTGCCAGGGTCAGTTTCTTTGGGACATCTTCAGCCATTTGGTCACAACTGCTTTCCTCATTTATGTTGTTAAGTGTTCGTCTTCACTAAGTTCCTTTGCTGCATATCTTAGAATCTATCAAGTGTGCAGTGTCAACATCCTCATGGTCAGCTGTTTCTTCTATAACTCCGTTTATGGTCTAGTCAATTTTCACTTCCAGCCTTAACACTTTTTGTTTCTTTACTGCATTTTCATCTTTGTTACAAATATTCTCTTTTGATTATTCATTTTTGTAAAATGCCGCGTATGTTTATCACTAGAAGACAAGGAGATAACACAACTACACACTTTGCTGTCTGTGTGTGAACTGACTAGATGTGAAGCCAGCAACCGACTTTGGGGAGAATATGATTGGTCGCTGATTGTGATGCACATCTGTTATTTACGTAGTGATTTGTAGACTGAAGAGCTAGCTGCAATTTGTACTTTATATAATTACTCATCATATTGTTGGGGGACTAGTGTTATTTAACTAAATTGTGGTAACTGAAATTTGTACATATTGGAACCATGCAAAGTGAGGACTGCCTGTACTCTAAAATGACAAATGTTTCAGATGTGAGGAAGGATGGGCAGGGGGAGTAGAAGCTTCTACATCAAATAAGGCATCTGTGTGCCTATTTGTTGGTGTGAATCTGTGTGTCAGCCTCAAATTCAGCATTACATATAGAAATTGGCCCCATGCACTTAATTTAAAAGTACAGTTAAAAGATACTTCTGGTATGTGCTTTCTTGGTCATTAGTCATTGATTTGGATTTCTGGTTCAAGACTAACTTCAACAGGTTAGCATATTCATTTGTTCAGTTGTACCAAGAATGTAGTTAGAGCTCCATAAAAAATTGTTGAATAAATGAATACCAATTTCCACCATCCGAAAAGGGAAATTTGAAGGAAATAAGTGTGCATATTCATTTTGAGGAGTCCCTAGGTAGTGCAAACTGCTGACACACTTGGCTGCTAACCAAAAGGTTGTAGGCTTGAGTTCACCTAGAGGCACATTGGAAGAAAAGCCTGGCAATCTACTTCTGGAAAATCACCTGTTGAAACCCTATGGAGCACAGTGCTACTCTGACACACATGGGGTCGCCATGAGTTAGAATCAGCCTGACAGCAACTGGCGTTCATTCTGAGAGACACATTTATCTATGCAATCTTAGATAATTCTTAAAGACCCCAAATTCCAAAGTATTTCTGAAAATTATCATAATCATCTTTCTTTTGGTCGTTAGAAAATTAAAGAAGCTTTTATTTTCCCTGCATTCTTTAACTAAAAAACAATTACATAGAATCATTTTAGTTCCCAGAGGTAGGGACCTGTTTATTTGATCTAAAGAACATTCCATTTATGGTTGTCTTAATGTTCTTTTTAAAAATTATTTTTGCTAACAATAACATATATAGAGAAAATTTCATAAAACATGAATGTACAATTTAATAATTATAAAGTGAGCAGCCATGTAACCAGAGTAAAGGTCAAGAAATAGAACATTGCAAATATCCCAGAAGCCCCCACTTTGTCCCTTCTAATCATAACACCTTCCTTCTTTCCTAGAGAAAATTACTACCCTAATTTCTGTGATAATCAA